GTGCTTTCATGTCAGTGCACGCCCTAATGGAGGGTAAGCTCAGCAATAAAGCCTGTGAAGTTCAGCTCTCAGGAAGCCTTTCTAAGTTGGGAGAACTTGAAAGCTGGGGTTTTCTAGGTTTTATCTTATCACATGCAGTAATATGATGTACTTAACTGTAATGAAAACTCTAAAAGAACCCAAACCAAAAAATAACATAGGAACCACTAGTTTGTATTTCCCCAAGCATTCATGTGAAACATTTAGATAAGCTTGCTCAGGAAAGCCAACCTAAACAACTGCCTGTTGTAAGAATAACCCTTGTAAAGAAATTAATGTGCTGTGCACCAGCCTATATAAATGCTGTCTGTATTTTTAAGTGAATACCTGATAAGAAAATAAGGCCAGTTACACAGCTGAATGCCCAAGGCACCACAAGATGAAATGCAATTATGTTCTGACTTACATGAATAAATCTGCTGTGTACCAATTTATATAATTTCTGCATGCTTTTATGTCACACTTACAAAGGGATAACTATTATAGGAATATAGATAACTGCAAATTTAAAGGAATAAAGACAAATATGGAATGAAAGCTCTGTTTCAGAAGTCCCTGTCATTATGCTGAACTACTCTGATTTTAAATATTTTTGTGTACAAGCTATACGTTTTTATCTAGACAAGAAAATTAGCAGTGAATACACAGTAACTGATATGTCAACCAAAGGAGATTAGTGGGGGTTCAGTATTATTTAACAGGTCTATTCTTATCTCTCCCCTGACTTCAGACTTAGGTTTATATGCTTCTTATTGGCTTGTAAACCCCAAAATACTTCGGAAACTGACTTTGTACCATGCCTTCCAGTCCTCCTGAGGACAAGTGGGCCTCATGAGTACCCTGAATAGGTGCTCAGATACCACCGAGATGGGTTTGGTATAAGAATCCAGACAGTCAGAGGATAAAAGGGGACTAGTTGGGGAGGGACTTGCTTCATGTCTTGAAGTCTGCTTCTCAGTCTTGTGTAGCTAATAGACATGCTGTGCCTTTTCTGTAAGCAACCTGCTTGTGCAGGGCTTGCTAAATGTTTCTGGAAAGAATTGCACCACTGAGTAGCCACAGTACAATTAGGTGGAAGTAAGAAGAAATTGCTCTGATGCCACAGCCCAGCTGGGTGGATGGAATAAGAAACACTACCCCCCCCCCAAGTTATTGCCTGATTGTGCAAAAAGAAAAAATGCACATCTCAGGCACATAGCCGAGCTGCGTGGAAAGAATAATAGTGCTACAGGGACTGGAAGGAATATTTTGATAGTAACTTGCAGATTCTGCAGTAAACATATCGAAAAAATGGCCACAGAGGACTTGAAAACTTGTATTGGCATGAGAATTATTGATAGTGTAGGTCACCAGTGACTCTCGTAATGGGTAACAAATCTCAAAATCACACACACACACATTGGTCTCTGGTGACTTCTGTTTAACATAGCCTCTCTGGTGCTCTTTTTGTAGCACAGCAGTCTTTTACGTTTCCCCTTGAAAGCAAGTGGCTAAGATCTGTTACAGAAACCCAGAGATGTAAAGGCCTGTCATGTTTAGGAGTGCCTAGTTTTTGCTCAAGGGCTTAAAAAACAAGATAGGAACATCATTTAAATACAAGAATTGCATGTGTTACATTACACACTGTGTAACTGTAACTGTGGGTCCTAAATGTGAACATTAAATGTACTCTGTAAAAATCCATTTACTGGTGCTAGGGCAGAAATCAGCCATCCTTTTTAAAGAAAAGTTTCGAAAGTGCAGTCATAAAATCCTTGCATGTTATGGATTTCATTAACATTGTATTCCCCTAGGACTCCCGATTGTACAATAACAGGAGTTCTTTAAATTTTAAATACCACAGACAGGAACAGATTTCACTAAAGCCAGATGTGGAAGCCTTGCTCTGGCCTTCTTACTGGTTCTAATAGCTGGAACTGTTTAGTAATTGATACCTATTAACATGTTTGTTGTTTAGATTACAGAAATGGAAACACTATACTATATTCCCCTGAAAAGATATGTTCATAAGGGACACTGGCATACATTACAACATTTTGCCCTTGATTAAATGAAAGGGTTGGTTTTCTATATATATTTAAAAAAATTCTATTTAATCACAGAATGGAAACTGAATGTGTGAAACGTAAGTGAAATGAACAAGTAGGTTTAACTTAATAGCAGGAGACAATAACATTCCATGTGACAATGAATTTAAGGATTATTGCCATGTGACAATGAATTTAAGGATTATTTTTGATAAACATTGTTGCATGCATTCCTTTTACGTCTTAATTCCATTCTTATTTGTATATTTATAGAAAATATTTATATCTTCACTTAAAATCACTGGAAGAAATTCAGCCCAGGATGACTCCACTAGAGACAATATGGTCACCCTTAGGTTCAAGTTATTTCAGCAAATTTAAAAAAAATGATGGAAGAGTAACAAGAAGTGGAGAAAGAGCTATGATGACATGTGATGTGGTTTTGCTGTTTATCTTTTCTCTGAGCTTTTGACATATTTAAAAATGAAAATGAAAGAAACTATTCATTTAGCACTGGAGGGCGTGAAATGTATGTTCAGCTGAGTTTAAGAGTTAGTGAGAAATATTTTATGAGCACCCAGGGAGAATCTAGTTTTCCCACTGAAGAACAGATCATATGTCCACAGCTGGGATTCATGCAGATCTTTGTTCAGTGAAACGTTACAAGCAGCCACCATTTTGCTAACTTTCTTCAGTGGAATGGTCTCAGAGATGTCAACACCTCAAGGAAAACAATCATATAATGTGACCTCTAGTTGTCCCTCTCCAGATACGGAACTGGATTTTTTCTTTTAGCAAAAATATTAACTTTGAAAGAAGGGGAAAGAAGGGAAAGGAGATTAGTAACATTTGCCACTTAAAACGAATGGCAAAGCCAGGGAATGAATAGTTAGGGCTACATCATCAAACACCTTCACATATGTACAGTTACACTCAGGGCCAGTCCTAACCAATTAGCGGCCCTAAGTAATCACCCAAAAAAAAAAAAAAAAAGCAAAGTCGGGATGGGGGGCAGAGGGTTGGGGAGTAACTAGGGCAACCTGGGGGGAGGATTCGGGAGGTCGGGCTGAAATGCAGTCATGGCCCACCCCTAAGACTGGCTTTTGTTACACACATCTCATGTATACACCTAATTTGCATGCATGCAGCAGGGATTTAAAATGACCAGGTGGACGAGGCAGTATCTTTCATTGTACCAATTTCTATTGGTGAGAGACACAAACTTTCAAGCTTGAAAACTTGTCTTTTTCATCAACAGAAATTGATTGAATAAAAGATATTGCGCAACTCCACATCTTTAAAGGCAGACATGGCCTTAGCCACCTAACTGTTCATGCAAACATTGGGGTTTTATAAATTTGAGTGGATCAATAAATACGTACATTTTTGAAAATCTGAACCTTTATCCAGCTAGTATTATAAGAGCAGTATTTCAGGTTCAACACTGAGATATCATTCATTCTGTTTTGCCAATTCTCTGAATTCTCCGAATAATTGGATTATTCAGCAATAAATGCATAAGTGAAAGAAAGAAAGTCATATAAACAGATGAAACACATGGAATATGATTCTGATGCATTCCATTCTTTTTCCACGCACATTCCATGGCTTTCAAGTAGCACTGATTAATACCAAGCCTGTTACTTTTTAGGTAAAGATTGGGAGGTTTTAATTCTTATTTATGGCAAGTTAAGGGAATATGAATCAACTGCCTTGCCACATTCAAGTATTACTAAATCCATTACTTACAATTAGCAAGTTCCCATCAATTCAGGATATGTCTGGGCCTCCTAAACAGGACTCCTAAGAGTCCCATTGTGTTCAAAGAATCAGAAATGTAAGAATTTTCCTTTCTTTCTTCCTCTTACTGATTACTTCTTAACATGTTTTTAAGCTTTCTTGCACATAACCTCACAGGAAGCATCAACGTGAACATTCTTGTTGATGGTTTATGATGCATTGTTTTTGTATGTCAGTTAGTAATTTCCTATGGAAAACAACAGAGGCAAAAAGAGAGCAGCATATATTTAAACTGCTGCAAGTCTTAAGTACAGCATTTTTAATCTGACATAGGCGAAATTTCTTCTGGCTGTTGCTGTCAGCAACAGTGTCTGGATCACAATTAAGGCAGGAAGTGAAAAAGACTCTACTAAATAATGCAGATAAATTTGTATTTTTATGTGTATGCATGACAGTAGGTATATAAATATGAGTATTAATCTTCTAAAATTAATTTGGTTTTATTCTACAGTAATTAATATGAGTAATTCTAACATGTTCAGGAAGGACTATGGACTTGGTCATGCAAATATTTACAAACAAGCATAGCTCCACTGAACTCAATGACAGTGCTCAGGTGCATATGATCAGGACCTATATCAACAGTTCCTCCGTGACGAGAATACCAGTCATATACAAAATGTTCTGTTTTGTGATATGGATGAATAATACTAAGCACAAGATTGGAACAGTGAACTCACTTCATTTCTGATGATCTAAAATTGGATTCAGCTCTTTAGAAGTGAAATTCTAGTTCATTAAAACATGACACCACTTGATTCAAAGTATTATCAGTTAAAAAGGTAGCACATGCTCAGTTCACTGGGCCATTTCACATTAAGTGTATGTTAAACAAATATTGACTTTTCCACTAAACCAAAATCTCTGTCATTTGTGCCCAGAAGACAGAAAAAATAATAGACGCAGGAAGCAGAAGAATTAATCTTCTTGACCTTTTCTCTGTTATACCTTTGGGAGTCAGTCTTTTTTTGTGAGTGTGTGTATAATAGGGAATGTAAGACATTCACTTGCAAGAGTTCTTACATTATGCAGAAATATTTTACTGTATTATGTATATTCTTTACATTTTCCATTGCCAACTTGAATACATCCCACTATTTTATTAACATTGTCTCTATAACTTTATCTTCTTACCTGTATCCATTCCCTACCGGTATCTTCTCCAGGGGTCCATCCATTTTCAGCATAATTTAAACGGGACCTTTCTGAAGACCAGTTGGTGCTATATTGGGAGGAGACTGTGATTTGGTCAGAGTGAATTTCTCCTGATTCCATACCAAGTGGTTCCATACACTGGAAATCTGAAGAAAAATAAATTAACATAATTACTATAGTCAGCTCTTTCAGTTTAGTTTCAGGATAATGAGACCATGTTTTCCTGTTCTGAATATGAAAAGTTTTTTTTAATATGTGACTTTGAATTCTTTAGCAACTTTAACTGAGGCAGTATTGGGCTTGTAGTGTCATTCTTAATGCTTGTCACTTGAGTTGCCATGGCAATTCTGCAATAATAATGCTCTACAAATATTTTTAGCCCAGCATTGTAGCCATTTCAATACAGGACAATCAAATTCTCTTTCCTAGGATAACAAAACACTTCTGTGGGTGGATTTATAACATAAAACAATGTATGCTTAACCTATAATTACAAACAGAACTGAAGCATACAAGCTAAAAGACATTTAAAAATGTGTAATATATAACTCTTTGTAATGCAGAAGAATCAAAGTACAAAAATACTTTAAAATTTATTACTACAAAGTCCAGCAATTCTTTCTGCATCCCGGACAATCAAGAAAACAAACCAGATTTGAATCCAGCCAAATGTTTAATGAGTAAAAGGAATGACCATTTCTTTCATAACTAGTTGTACGTTACAAGAATTGATGGTCTCCATTGAATCTCAGTAGACATAAACATTTTTGTGACAATTTAGCATTAATTGGCTGCCTAGTTGTTAGTCTTTACAGACTGGCCAAAGGCTGACTGGGCCATGTGGACTAAATTATCTTCTCAGTGCTGGAGAAGGTTACTCCAGACCGGGCTGAGGTGTATTTGCATGGTTATGTGGGGATGCTTGCATTGTTACTGCCTGTGCATTTCATACCCTCTCTCACTTATTGGAGGGTCAGATGGATGAGGGCCTTTCATAACCAATACATATAGATGAGATACACACATTAAAATATCTAAAAACCCTGTGCAACAGAAATATGACTAGATGGGCTCATCTACATTGGCCCCTTTTCCGGAAGGGGCATGTTAATTTCAGCCATCGTAGTAGGGAAATGCGCGGGGGATTTAAATATCCCCCGCGGCATTTAAATAAAAATGTCCGCCGCTTTTTTCCGGCTTTTAGAAAAGCCGGAAAAGAGCGTCTACACTGGCCCCGATCCTCCGGAAAAAGCGCCATTTTTGAAGTAGGAATAAGATCCTCCGGAAAAGGGCGCTTTTTCCGGAGGATCGGGGCCAGTGTAGACGCTCTTTTCCGGCTTTTCTAAAAGCCGGAAAAAAGCGGCGGACATTTTTATTTAAATGCCGTGGGGGATATTTAAATCCCCCGTGCATTTCCCTACTACGATGGCTGAAATTAACATGCCCCTTCCGGAAAAGGGGCCAGTGTAGACGTAGCCGATATGATTTTTCTTTTATTTCTTATAATGCTATTTAAAGTATTTAATTTTGTATGTAACTGGAACCTTTAATCTTATATCAGGAAGAGGTTTTGTTATGTTGCCATCATGATAAATGGCCCATGGGAAAACCAGAATTTCATCTATAACTTTGCAAAAAACAACAGTTATGTACTGTGATACAGCAAAACTGGAGTGCAGTAATAAGAGACATTAATTAATTCAGGGCTAGAATAAAATGCTTGTACACAAAAGAGAAACAGCGAAGGAAAGGAATGGATGAATGAAAATGCTTTAAATTGACTTGTGACAGCTAGCACAGTTTGCAAATGTGTATTTTTCCTGTTTAAAATTTTAACTTGTCAGTTAAAAAAAACCAACCCCGAACATTTACATGCTAAAGCTTTTGGCTGAAAAACAAAAAATGTCACTTTGAAAATGCTGCCATGGTGCTTCCTCGAAAATATAGTGGGAGTGCCTCATGTCTAAATTCTCTTCTATGAGCTGAGCTCCTTGGCCAGACTACATCTCCCATGATGTATCACATTCTCCCCAATTTCTGAGCCACCAGAGTCAGTACCAGATTTACAATGATGCCAGTGGCACCAGGTCCACACTTTGAAGGGGCTCATTATTTCACCATAAATAAACTTGCATATATATACTACATATACACACAGATAGGCCTGCTCCATGCTAGGCAGTTAGGCTGCACGGGCACTATTTATGGGGGTAGCAGGGCAGTAGTTCCCCCTCCAGAATTTGAACCCCTGGATTTCATATTTGAGGTCTGCTTAAAGCACATGTCCTTACTCCAGAGGCAGTTCTTAAATGCAAAATAGTTTGAGCTACTTACAGGTTTGCCTTTGGGGCAGGGAGTTTGTTATAAAAAGAGGGAGGCAGAGTGATTAAGAATAACAAAAGTCTTGTTATTCAGGTAATTGAAGGATCGTTAGATCATCATGAAAATATTGCCAGGTACTCCACTTAAAAGAGAAGAGAAGAAAGAGTAGGAATAAATAGTGGTTTGCTGGCCGGATCCGCACTTGGACCCGTGTTGCCAAACTTCTCATAAATATTCTTGAAAAAGGGGCAAAGAGTGATTAATCCATAGCTGACTGCAAAGAGTTACAAAGGGATCTTACAAATCTGAGTGACTGGCCAACACAAGGGCAGATGGAATTCAGTGTTGATAAGTACAAGTAATACACATGGAAAAATATAATCCTAACTATACATACCAAAATGATGGGTCTAAAATAGCTATTACCACTCAAGAAAGAGATCTTGGAATCCTTGAGGATAGTTCCCTGGAAATATCTGCTCAGTTTTCACTGGCAATCTAAAAACTAAAAAGCTAACAGAATATTGGGAATCATTGGGAAAAGAATAGATAATAAGACATAATACTATATTGCCTCTATATAAAGTCACTGAATGCCCACATCTTGAATACTGTTTGCAGATCTGGTCACCCCATCTAAAAAAAGATATATTGGATTTGGAAAAGGTACAGAAAGGGCAACAGAATTGATTGGGGCGGGGGCGGGGGAGGGGGGGAGTAAGGAACAGCTTCTATATCAGGAGAGATTAACAAGACTGGGACTTTTCAGCTTGGAAAAGAAATTACCAAAGGATAGGGGGATATGCTTGAAGTCTAGAAAATCATGAATGGTGCGGAAAATAGAATAAGGAAATGTAATTCATTCCTTTACTAACATAACACAAGAAGATGACCCAATTAAATTTATAGGCAGTAGATTTCAAATAAACAAAATAGGCAACAGGGGATGGATCACCTTCTCTGTTTATTCCTTCTGAAGTAACTGGCATTCACCACTGTTGGAACACAGGATAGAAGGTTAGAAGGACCATTGGTCTGACCCAGTATTGCCATTCTGATGTTCTTATGTAGCTCTGAAATGTATCTGACCTTTGCTTTAATCCACCAGATTCCACTCCCCCTTCCAGATCTGAGATAGAGTCCTGATGGGGTCTCTCTCTCTGTCCACTGAGTTAGTAACAAAGTAAGAATATATATTAAAATTTAATTAAAATTAAAATCTAAGGCTAATCAGTATCCCGTAAGTCCGTGGTCACCAACCAGTAGATCGCGAGCTACCGGTAGATCTCAGGGGCTCTAAAAGTAGCTCTTGAGCCCTCTCTGAACTGTGCGCCTGCGCAGTACATTTATTGGATTTCCTCATTTGAGGAGCAGCTACTCACCGAGCAACACCACAGGTGAGTAGCTGCAAGGAATGGTGGGAGCTGGGAGGTCGGGAGGGGTGAAACACCCCAGCCAGCTGACTGTGGCTTTCAGCTGAAAGAGGCTGCCCCGCGCTCCAGCTGATCAGCAGCTTCTCCTCTGCGCCTGCTCACGTGGAGCTTGGTAGCACCCTGGCTGAGCACCATGGCCAGCTGGCTAGGTAGCCGCTTTTCTTCGCTCCAGCCCGGCTGCCCTGCGGGCAGTCCGGAGGGGGCGCCGGT